ACATGAAATCATTACAGAGCACATTAGCATAATTTATTTGCATAACTTATTTGCATATGCCACACACCCTGACATCACCGGAAGTGTGGCAGAAGGCAACACTCTGTAGGCTGGATCTCTCAGGCTCCACTGGACTGTTTTGGATTGCTAGCTATTGGGGGGGGGACATGCAGATCTGTCCTCACAGAGGAGGGAGAGCTTGTACCTGAATAAAACTTGGTCTTAAAGATGCCACTGGACTGTTTTGGATTGCTAAGTATGGGGGGGGGACAACGTGCAGATCTGCCCTCACAGAGGAGGGAGAGCTTGTACCTGAAGGCTCTGCCTTCAGGAGGGGGGCTCTGCAATTTACCTGGCTGCTTCTTGCTCCTCATGGCCCGACTGAGGGATGCTGGGAGCAGGGGGTGGGGCTTGTTGCATATGCCTGCCCCCTGTCCTCCTTACTGCCGGAGCTCCACTCCTATGCACTCCCACAGGAAATGACCCCTGAATTCTTCAAAGAAAGAAATTTTGAGGGAAAATTACAACGCGAGATTGCTGAACCTAATTCACAGGTTCAGAACAAGTGACCCCCGAGGACTGAATAGGGACATAGGATTTTTATCTCACTACAGATACTAATTTTCTGCCCCCAGGCATTTCCCCTCTGTTCTAATCAAGCTGACTACAATGTCCACTGTGTTGAAGTCAAGGACTTTATGTTGTCTCCTGCCTCAACGTTCAGAGGGGGACTAAACATAGAGTCAGAGTAATCAAGAGGCCAGGCCCAATCACACTTTCCTTTCTGTTTCTCTGAAACTATCCTTTGAGGTGTAGAATGCTAATCACAGGGTGAACTTCCTTCCTTCCACCTTTGATCCCTCTCGCACACACCTTGCCAGAATGCTCCTTCATGAATGAAGGACATGCTTTTCTGCATCTGCATCCATCCTAGCTAGATAGAATATACTATCCTATCCCTACTCTATACTGTCTAGAATAGAGTTCCCTATAATAAAGAACTCTCATTAGCTTGAAATAATAAAAGAGGCTCCATGTAAAATAAATAAATAAATAAATGTAACTTTGTTCTCATCAGAACTCACACAGAGGATGGAAAAGCTTCACTGTGTGGTAAGCCTTGTACATGCACTCTGCTAAGTTATTAATGATTCCTGGCTGTAACAAACCGGAGAATCTAACACATTGTACCTCTGCATCCTTTACAAGCGTACTTTACTCTTCCCACTTTTTGAGGACAAAAGGAGTCAGATCTACATCCACTCTACTGTATCTGATGAAGGGTGCTTTGACTCTCAAAAGCTTCTACTCTGAAAATTGTTGGTTTCGAAGACGTTTCCGTGGTCATGTGGCCGGCATGACTAGACGCCGAGGCACACAGAACACTGTTACCTTCCCACTGAAGCGGTACCTATTTATCTACTTGCAATTTCTTGCTTTTGAACTCCTAGGTTGGCAGGAGCTGGGGCCAGACACGGGAGCTCACTCCATCACACGGCACTCGGATCTTGAACTGCTGAACTACCGACCTTCCAGTCTGCAGTTCAGCATCTTAACCACTTGAGCTACTGGACTCAAATCTAATTGCATTAGAAGATGATGGTTGCGAAGTTTACTGTAGATATAAATCACATTCTCAACCATGTGCTTAACTTTTAAAATGCTGAAAGGGAAAACAGAGCTGGGCAAAGTGTGAGTTCCATGGCCATTCTGTCATTAGCACTGCCAACTCCAGGTTGGGATATACCAGGAGATTTCGGGTGTGGTGTGGGGAGAGTCCACTCTCCAAAGCTATCATTTTCTCCAGGGGAACTGATCTCTGTAGGCTGGAGATGAGCTGTAATTCTGGGGAACCCCCAGGTCCCACCTGGAGGATGGCATCCAGTTCGGATTGCACCATGCCAGTCTTTTCTACTGTTCCTCCAGGGCCATGCAACACGCCTCCTACTGGGGCTCAGATGAGACTTGTTGTTGTTGTTCAATCGCACATTCGAGTCTGACTCTTCGCGACCCCATGAACCAGATCACGCCAGGCCTTCCTGTCTTCCGCCGTCCTCTAAAGTTTGCTCAATTTCATGTTCGTTGCATCGATGACACTGTCTAACCATCTCATCCTTTGCCGTCCCCGTCTTCTTTGACCTTCAATCTTTCCCAGCATCAGGGTCTTCTCCAGTGAGTGCTCCCTTCTCATTGGGTGGCCAAAGTATTTCAGCTTCAGTATCTGGCCTTCCAGGGAACAGTCAGGGTTGATTTCTTTTAGGATTGACTGATTTGATCTTCTTGCAGTCCAAGGGACTCTCAAGAGTCTTCTCCAGCACCATAGTTCAAAAGAATCTATTCTTCAGCACTCAGCCTTCCTTATAGTCCAACTCTCGCAGCCATACATGACTACTGGGAATAACATTGCTTTGACCATGCGGACTTTTGTTGGCAGGGAGATGTCTCTACTTTTTATCATGCTGTTTAGGTTCGCCATTGCTTTCCTACCAACGAGCAGGAGTCTTTTAATCTCATGGCTGCTGTCACAGTCTGCGGTGATCTGGGGTCCCAGGAACATGAAGACTAGCATTTTGCTATGTTTAAGGAGGATCCCTTCCAAATCCCTTTTCTGCGTTCGATATGGACTTGCTCTCTCTCTCTCGCCACTGTCCATGTGCACCCCACAGGAGGACGTGAACCACTTTTCTTAGGAATACTGTGCAAGCAGTTGAGATGTCACAGGGATGCCAGCCTCCAGGTGGGACCTGGGGATCTACCGGACTTACAGCTCATCTCCAGACGACCAAGATCAGTTTCCCTGGGGAAAATGGATGCTTTGAAGGGTGGATTCTGTGGCACTGTACCCCTCTGAGGTCCTGGTTCTCCCCAGGCTCCATCCCCAAATCTCCAGGAGTTTCCCAGCCTTGATCTGGTAACCCTACCCCCCCCCCCATCTCCCATCTGTGGCCCGGGGGGACCTAGCAACCCTAGCTGAGAGGGATGAGGGCAGTTTTCGGGTTTTGTAACGGAAGGTGTTGTGTCCGCTGACCGCCACCAGGGGCCAGCGAACACTCCAGAGCTTGACTCTGGAGGAACAATGGGGACTAGGCTCCTGGTCTCTCCACTGGGGGACCAATGGGACCGTGGCGGGAGATTTAAACCCACCAACGGGACCTAGGGGTGTGTCCCCAGGTGTGTATATAGTTGGCCAGCCGGCCGTTTGTCTTGTTGTGTACCAGTAAACCATGCTGATCACTACATCAGCCTCAGTGGTTTCTTCATGCGTTTAACCCACTACACTTCAGAAGGGGTCAAAGAAAGTCAGCTCAGGGTTGGGAAATACCTGGAGGCTTTGGAGGTGGGGCCTGAGAAGGGTACTGTTTGGGGCATAATGCCATAGAGTCCGATTTCCAAAGTGGCCGTTTCCTCCAAGAGAACTGATCTCTGTCACCTGGAGATCAGTTGTAATAGTAGGAGGTCTCCAGCCACCACCTGAAGGTTGCAAAATACAAATTGGGGGACACAGTTAGACCGCTACGCCCGGCTCGAACTGTGAAGCAAACCATTTGGGAGTGACAGGAGGCAGTGGTGTTCCATTATTGAACACGCCCTTCCGATAAGTGGTATCTGACCAAATTAACAGAAGGTTGTCAGCTCTTGAAAAAAGGGTCTTCTCAAAACGGTCTTTCTCGATCGTCTGTTGGGATTTGCTCAAGAGTTCTGCTTGAAGCCCTTGTTCCAAGCACCACAGGAGATCAACCTGTATACTGTGCATATTTAGGAGGACTTCAGCCTGTATATTGTGCATTACATACTCATCATTGGGTGGTACCTCAATTGGTGACAACGATTGCTTTTTGAATTGTTCATGCCTTGTATGATACATTCTGATACCTTCTACCTTAAAGTAAAGGTAAAGGTTTCCCTTGCTCGAAAGCCAGTCGAAGCTGGCTCTAGGGGGCGGTGCTAGTCTCCACTTCCAAGCTGAAGAGCCAGCGCTGTTCGAAGACGTTTCTGTGGTCATGTGGCCAGCATGACTAAATGCCAAGGCGCACAGAACACTGTTACCTTCCCAGTGAGGTGGTACCTATTTATCTACTTGCAATTTCTTGCTTTCGAACGGCTAGGTTGGCAGGAGCTGGGGCCAGTTTGGTGTAGAGGTTAAGTGCGCAGACTCTAATCTGGATGACCTTGGGCAAGCCATAGTTCTGATAAGAGCTGTTCTTGAAAATGAGCAGTTTCTGTCAAGAGCTCTCTCAGGCCCACCTACCCCACAGGGTGTCTGTTGTGGGGAGGGGAAGGGGAAGGTGTTTGGGTACTGAACGGCAGGGTATAAATCCAATCTCTTTTTCTTCCCTCACGCGGCACTAGGGTCTCGAACTGCTGAACTACAGAGCTTCCGGTCTGCAGCTCCGCGTCTTACCCCCTGAGCCACCGTGACCGATGCTCCCTCTAAGCTGTGGAGTCCTGTGAGCAAAAATTCTACGTTGTGAGATGCCGGCATTAAAGTTGTGAGCGAGCGATTTGGCTACTGCATAAATCAGTTTGCTCTGGAGCCCTCCTTCCAGAGTGAAGGCAAAAAAGGTGTGAGCCGGAAGCTAAAAAACTGTGAGCTGGCTCACACTCACTCAGCATAGAGGGAACACTGAGTCCGCGACCCCATCTTCTGCCTTGCTAGTTTATAAATTCTATTGAATTCCTATTATTAATTATCTATAGGTTGGATCAAATTGTTCTACCGCAACACGGGCGATATACTATTAGCCAGTTCTGCTTCACGGTGTCCTTTGCAATCTTCTGTACCACCGGGAGGTTGGCAACCCCTATGTTGATCCGCGTTTCACCGCCTCCAGACGAGCGGGGGGCGGCAACGCGCCGCGTGAGCGGGCCGGTCCTCCCCGCACGCAGGGGGCGCTGTCGCCCTCCCCCCCCGTCCCCCGCACTGCGCTTCCGCCGCCGGCCGCCGGCCGCCAGGCAGGGGAGGCGGGAACTTCCGGCGCGACGCCTTCCGCCCTCCCGGCCCCCGTGTGTGTGTGTGTGTGTGTGCGCGTGTGCCGCCGCGGAGCGGGTCTGGGATGCCAAGATGGCGGCCTCGGCGGTGTCGGTCTTCCCCGGCGTGCGGCTCCTGACCATCGGCGACGCCAACGGCGAGATCCAGCGGCACCAGGAGCAGCAGGCGCTCCGCCTCGAGGCCCGCACCGGCCCCGACGCCGCCTGCCTGGCCCTTTACAGCCGTGAGTCGGGGAAGGGGGGGGTCTCCCTCGGTCTCCCTCCCTCCCTCCCTCCCTCCGCGGGAAGGCGGCGGGCGCGGGCGCACAAGGGGGCGGGGGGCTCCCTCGGCCGCGGGGCCGCACGTGCTGCTGCGGGGGAGCGGCTGGCCGGTGGCGGCCGCAGCATCCTTTGCCGTCCTGGTTGGGGGCGGCTGCGGGAAGACCTCGGGGAGGGGGCCGGTCTTGGAGAACTTGGGGCTGGCGGCGGCTTTTTCTGCCTCCAGGGGGGCGCCTGCGGGTGATCCCCCCCCCTCACCCCCACGCACATCTTTCAGGCATCAGGTTGTGCAAAAGTTTCTGGCGACTCCGGTGGCCCGGCGTCCCTCTGGCACTCTTGACCAGAAAGACGGAGGAGGCGTGATAATGCCGGGGGGGGGGGGCGCTGCCGCCTTTTCGAAATGGGTCCAGCTGTCAGACGTCTGTTCCTTGGTTTGCTTCGTTCCATTCATTAATCGCCTGTCCCAGCGACAGATTAACCATGAAGCAGGCGAAGCACGTGCTTAGGGCACCAGGGCCAAAGGGGGCACCACAAAGTTGGGAAAAGAGTGAAAAGGAAAAACAACCACGAATGAAGATTTGTAAAAAAAAAAATATTGATAAAACTAGTGCACATTGATCATGGTGCACCCTAGGGTTATCTTCTGTGTTTTGTTGGCGAGGTGCAGTGTCATAGGCTGTGACACCAAGATTGGTCAGTGTTTAGGGCACCAGTGAGCCTTAATCCGCCCCTGGCCTGTCCCCACAGTTGTGGAGCTCTAGGCGATGTGCAGAGTCCTGAAAGCATTAAAAACCACATCCTCCGACAACAGACGGTAATGAAAAGTGAGTGGTGAAAATTTTGTCGCTCCCTTGCCGTATGTGGTATGTGAGTGCTTCACACGTTCAGGTGGAGAGTAAGTTCTGTAAGGAATAAGGGTTGGGTGCCAGCCATGATGTTAACCATTGCGGCCCTCAACCAAAGTTGGATCTCCCCTGCCCTGCGGCTGGTTTTTCTTTAGACGCGTTTTATCAGTAAGTGACGTGAATGGTCGACTGTGGTTTTCTGACAGAAGAAAGTGAGACAGGATCGTTTTTAAAAGTCAGATCAAGAGGAGTTAGCCTTGTTTGTCTGTTGCTGCAAACAGTAAAAACTCAGTAGCGCCTTTAAGACTGACAAACTTTATGGTAGCGTAAACCTTCGAGAATCACAGCTCTCTTCGTCAGATGCATCTGAAGAAGAGAGCTGTGTTTCTCGAAAGCTTATGTGGCAACAAAGTTTGTCAGTCTTAATGGCTCTACTGGGCTTTTTACTATTAAAAAGTTAGGACAGTGAATGAGAGGGACTGTGATGCAGCATCTTTAAAGTACTGTTGTGCACACAAATGCAAACCATGGGAGATGAATATTGATCTGCAGCTCCAACGGGGTCATTGCTGACAGGTGTTCTGAAAGGACGATGGAGTAGGTTGACTGTTGGAAGAACATACTTTGCCCCAGTCTTTAAATTTTGCAGTGGTATTTCACAAGCCTTTTCTGTCTTGTATTCAAGTCAGCGTCTTTAGGTGTACTTTCTTTTGGAAGTATTCCTGCTACTGTAGTAACGATAGTAATAATGTTTAGGTGTAAAAATCCTTCACACGTGTTATTTGAGCAATCGTGATTGAGTAAATGAATTATCTTCGTATTGTACATGGTGAGGTAGATTGATCTGAGTGATAAATGAAGTGAATTTAGAGTCATATTTTATTTTGCTTTTTAAAAGCTTAAGTCAGGATGGGATGCTTGAGATTCTAATGATCTTTTGATTTAAGTGGGACTGCAATTCCTGGTTTAGAGCCCTCACTTTTTAGCCATCAACAGATCTAGCAACAGTTTGACCAAATTGATCAGGCTTGGATCTGTTTGCTCAGAAATAAATGTCATTCCGTTCAATGCAGCACAATTCCAAGTAAGCAAGTAGAGGATTGCAGCCCTTTGTTTCCAGGCAAAAATCCCTCATAGAGGAAGGGATAGTGTAGAAGTCGGGGCAAGAAGTCAAGGACTCTTTACCAGTGGAAAAGTTGTGACAACTTGGGGAGCCCTTGGGCGGGGGAAGGTTCTTTGAAATGTTTTCTGTTTTGGAATGGAGAGAAATGCTTTTTAAGAAAAGGTGTTACTCATTCACAGCGTGCAGTAAAAAAAACCCTTTAATGTAAGGTAAGTGTTAGATGATGACGATGATTCCTAAGCTTCCTGTAGAGAGAGAACATATTTTCAACATTACGTTTATTTTTAAAATGTGCGTAATTTTGATAGCAATTAATGTGCTATAATGTGTTTAATTATAAGACACGATCAAAGAGTCTAGTGTTTGATGTGCTAGTTTTATTCCTAAGAATGTTTGAGAGAGTTTCTGCCCAGATAACACGATCACTTTTGTTTACTCCAGAATTTGTTTTGCTTTTCATTATTTGTCTGCTGCTCAGGTGGCGAAGATGCATGTGCTGTAGTAGCGTAGGGTGAGGCAGTTTGCAGTTTTCTGTCAAGTGATACATGCATTGCAATTTGGCTTGTAGAAAACACAGACATTTATACTTCAAACATCATATATGTGCCCAAACGGTACAATTCTATACAGTAAAAATTTGTAATAGCAAGCTAGAAATTATATACTAAGATTTTATGTGATGAAATAAATAAAACAAGGATTTGCAGGAGTGCCTTGAAAAGGTTATCCTTCTATAAACAGCTGCTTCTAGCCCTTAGGAAGAACAGTCCAGGTTGCGTCTTGAATCACCTTCATGTGGTTCACAAGCACCGAAATGTGATTTTAAGTAGCATTCCTACTTGACGATGATTTTCATGTGGGAGATGGAAATGGGGCAGTTGTGGGGAAAGGTTTGAACAGATTACATCTGTAGCTGTGGAGTTGTGTAATGTGGACACTGCAGTGTTTCTGAGTGACTTGGTCCCGTGTACTTGTACCCCTCCTGTGCCGTCCAGGGACTCCTCCTCCTACACCTCCTCCTCCTGGGCCTGTGCTGTGTGGGTTCATTAGAGGAAATCTAAAAACATCTGAAGAAGTGAGCCCTGACTCACCGTAGCGCATGCTGGAATAAATGTTGCTGGTCATCGAGGTGCCACTGGACTCCCGTTTGAGAAATCAGTGCCGTGCCCTTCATTAGATCTTGTCAAAAATCTCTTAATTAGTGAGCAAGCCTTTGAGTTAGCCATCATTTTCCATCTTACCCGAATACTAAGGAAAAACAGAAAAAGGGAATGGCCAACTTTATCCTTTCTTGTCTTTGTTTGATTTTGTTGAACGTGAACATTTCTGAGCCATTAGAAAGCTTCTTTGTTAATTTGATATGCTGCTCCTAATAAAGTTTTTTTTTTTGGGGGGGGGTTATAAATTTGTCTCTTTTCAGCTTCATATAGTCTTAGGCTCCTGGCCAGAGGCCCCTTTCTTTCTCCAAATATTGTAGTTCCTGAACAAAATCCATTAGTTGATCTCTCAAGAATAGTCTTGTCTGTTTCATTCGGTAGATAACCCAGGCCATCTCTGAAGGGAAATGCATTTCCCTGACCAAATCTATTGCTATTATTTATTCAATATCAGAGTTAAAAGGGATATCCCGGGTCATCTAGTCCAACCACCTGCTAACACACGAACTACAGCTATAATATCCTGACCAAGTAGGTATCCAGCCAATACTTAAAAATCTGTAGCAATGAAGAATCTCACAAAGGAGACTTTCCCAGAGTGAAACACACCTCCCCATCAGTGTTCCCTCTAAGCTGAGTTAGTGTGAGCTAGCTCACAGTTTTTTAGCCTCCAGCTCCCATATTTTTATGTTAGCTCAGGAAGGATGGCTCCAGAGCAGACTAATTTATACAGTAGCCAAATCACTCACTCGCAACTTTAATGCCAGTAGCTCACAAAGTAGAATTTTTGCTCACTAGACTCCATAGTTTAGAGGGAGCATTGCTCACCATCGGGAAATTCTTCCTCAAATTTAAATAAAACCTCCTTTGCTGTAGTTTATATGCATTTGTCTGAGTCCTGCCTTCCAACACAACTGAAAATATATATGCACCCTATCCTCTGTATTGAATTATGTGGAATTATGTTTGAGTAATAGAGCTCCTAAACATTGCAAATTTCATTTTTGGGGACAGGCCGTGGCTCAGTGGTAGAGCATCTGCTTCGCATGCAGAAGGTTCCAGGTTCAATCCCTGGCATCTCCAGTTGAAAGGGCCAGGTGGTGAGTGAAAGTGAAAGACCTCTCTGCCTGAGACCCTGGAGAGCCACTGCCCGTCTGAGTAGACAGTAGTGACCTCGATGGACCGATGGTATGATTCAGTATAAGGCAGCTTCATGTTCACATTGTTCTGCTCCTGAGATCTGTCTTTTTAAACTGAAGCTTTGGTCAATGCTCATCCTCCTTTCCAAAGCTATAACAGAACTGTACAGTTGGAAGAAACTGCATGTATCCTCATGCCTGTTCAGTCTTTCTTGAAGATCTCCAAGGAAGGAGAATACTAGTTGGATTAAACAGAAGCAAAAGGTTCTGCTTTGTGCCTTTGTGTAACATTGTAGTATAAACTTGCTCTGTGGAAGAATTGCTTGTGTTCTTTGAAATACCGGATTTTGTATCTTCCAAGATCTGAAAGCGAAGCTGGTGGGACTGGAGTTTCTCGCCTGCCTCTTTTGCTGCAGCCCACTGAGGGCCCCCCGACTTTATTCCTGAGGGTCAGAGGACCTTCGTGAACAGCATAAACTGGTAAATATCTGGTAATGGGGAAGAATCAACAGGAAACGCCACATTCCCTCAGATGGCTGGCATACCCTTCTGTTGCTGGAAACAGGCAAGTGGATAAAAGCCGGTTTGTGTTTCCTGCATTCTTTTGGTGGGGCAAGGACTAAGTCCTTTGGATTTTCCTTCCAGACAACCTTGGTCTTGTAGGCTTCCTCTAAATCATAGAATCATAGAGTTGGAAGGGAC